TTCTTTGTCGTTCTCTCTCTCTCTCTCTCTCTCTCTCTCTCTCTCTCTCTCTCTCTCTCTCTTTCCCTTTGTGTATCATTTTTTAAAATAAAATTGCTTTTTCTAGTTAAACCATATTCAAAAGCAGACAATGCTGACTCTACAAAACTAAAGAATGTCTGTGTTACTTTTCTTAACTGAGGAGAGAGAGAGAGAGAGAGAGAGAGAGAGAGAGAGAGAGAGAGAGAGAGAGAGAGAGATTCATCACTGACAAGTATTAACTCCTATTTATTACAGATCCTTGGACCATACATAGAATGCTCATTTGTCAGTTCAGAAATAATGAACTGTATGCCCCCCCACACAAACTCACTTTTTCAGAAAAAAATAAAAAGAGAAGAAATGGAATAAAAAAAACTTAAGGCCTATACACCATTCTCTGTTCTCTTCCTTTTACATAATCTCAAACTGCTAGGAAGCCAAATTACTCCAGAAAAAAACTTGGCTTCAAATTTTCCCAAAGCACCCTGAGCTTGTTCCCTAAAATGAATCAAAACCATGGACAGCGAACTAATTATTTAGCAAACAGACTGCTGCAAAATTGTGTGTGGAAGGAAAGTTTACCTTCATAGTATCTGTTGGAGGCAAAACAATTTTTAATATATTTTATAACAATCCAGATTAAAATTTGAATTTAAACTAAAATTAGGTTTTGAATTTAAATCATAATGAATACACATTCTACCAAGTTTTAAAGAAATGATAGGCTACATGTTCATTTTTTTTGTCCTTTCTACAGGTATAAATTCCTTATTCAACTAAAGGTCATTTCTATCTTTTGCTGCTCATAAGTGACAATTTTAAATGCACAAATTTTGTTGTGGACTATTCTTTGTAAGATTTAAAGCAAGTGAGACAGGGAAAATTTACTATTTTGCTTGGGATTAGCTGCATGACACTAGAGCAAATTAAGTAGATTTTTATCAGTGACTAGGTTTCTAAATGCATAGAATTGGAAAAATTAAATGCCACTTTGATAGACAGGGATAATGTGAACGGAGATATGATGCAGCTCCACCGTTTACCCTTGGACAGGCGTGGTAGCCCATAACTAACAGTACAATAGTTAGACAAACATTTATTTTTTTTCTCAAGAAACCAACAGACTTTCTCATACATATTGATACAGTTTAGGGCAAAGGATTGATTCTCTTTGGCTCTGTGTCAAATAGCCATGTTGTTTTGTGCATAGGTTTAATTACCTTAACCTTTTCAGAAATAAACTTCATCAAAATTGTTTTGCTTTGGGTTATATAATGCATTTAAAACTGCTCATTTAAATTTCCTCTTTCAATCCCCATGACATCTGACTTATTTTGTTACACGTCTTCTTTGTGACCAGTGAAGGCCTGGAAGATCATATGAAATCATAAATAAATTAAAAAAATTATTTAAACTTAAAATTAGAACGATGTTGACATTTGCAAGAAAATAAATTATTGATCTTTAGCCATCATGCTTAACCATAGAATGAAACTGCAAGTCTTTGAAATGTCCTCGTTTCTTAGCCGTGATGATAGATATATTTTAGACACCCGTATTGAAAAACAAACAATCAAAGCAACACTTTCAGAGCATTTGAGAATATTCAATGACATTGGATGGTATCTCGATCGTCTCCATGATGGGATTTTGTGGTTCTTGTAATGGTGGTGCAGGGCTGGGTGGAAAGCAGACATAGTTTGGAAGGGAGTCATTGTTTAGGAAGGCATCCCATAGCGGTTGCATTCGTGAGATTAAGCACAAATTTAGACCTTGGCCTGGGGAAAAATGATTTTGGGTTTGAGATAAGCCTTGGACACAGAATTAAGAGGTGGTCCCTCATCTGGAGCATAGCTGTGTGTAGCCTGAGGTACTTATTGTTCTTGCCCAAGCCCTTGGATGCCAGATCCTAGATGAAGAATGAGAGAGTAGTTCACTGTCTCCATTTTAAGGAACGGAAACTAAGTGCGGTATCTTGGATTTGCTTTGAGTCAGCCTGGACCTTGACAGGGGTCTGGGGGGTGCAAGG